TTTTATGAAATTTGAAAAGTTGTTACCTTCCTGATTTCAAAATTTCTCTTTACAGTCTACACTAAACGTGTCTTTAAATGTTTCAAGTATGCATTTTTATTCATTTGCCCACTGAACTCCACTTTCTTTTGTCGATATTTACAGCTACAGTTTGGCCATCGTAGTTTTTCGAACCTGTGACGTCACTACAGTTGATTTATTTTGAAGCGCTATTAAAATGAGTAAACTCATAAACTTTTCTTAAACTTTTCAATAGAAAAATACGTTCAAATGTCGTCAATTAAAAAAATCGACTTTACTCAAAAATGTGTGAATAACAAAAAATATACATGTACTCGAAACGCATGAATAACTGTGTCAAAAATCTAATTATAGGGACTTATGTCGGTCGGTGCGTCTCCGGAAATAAAACAGATTTCATTGGGTGGCAAAACCCATGTGACATGTCTTGCAATTCTGATTGGTTCGCGCACAGTGTTTTTGTTAGCGAGAAAATATGTGAAGTTCACAAGAAGGCGAAACTTCAGAGGAGGGACAAATTTTACCAAAATTTCCAATTCAGAAATTTAATTTTTGGCTTTAAATATATTTCAAATGTTGAACTAAATAACTGTAATAATTTAAGACAGAAGAAAATTCGTAAATAAATGGAAATCTGCTCCAAAATCGATTGAATTAAAGAAAACAAAGACGACGGCCATCTTTGTTTTGGATTTTCTTCGGAAAACAAGAGATTTGTAAGTACAACTGTCGTTTAACTACATTCTCCAGAGCTTTCTTAAAGTTTAAAAATGTACCAGTTTAACTTCTTAAAAGTGAATTTGACTTCTTTGATGGTTTCATGGAACTGATTGTTTTTAATTTTGTGATTTTTAGAGTAGGTCAAGACTTTGGACCAGATTTTTTAAAATAATAGTATGACTTGGTCAGGCGATATGAAACCAAGAGAAGGAAGACGGCATAACAGAAGACAGCGCTACAATAGTAATAGCAGTTCAAGGGGATCTCCTTCACCAAAATTACTTGAAGACAGGTAATGCGTAGATTATAGTTTATTCTTGGCAGTTTGCCATAGGGATTCCAATTAATATTAACCAAGGTTTTTATTTATAGAGTATTAGCTAATAAAATAATTTGTAATTGTATATGTCTGATCTTTGAAAGATTATTTAAAAGTTACAGGGATGACAAGGTATTAAGTGATCAATAAATATGAAATAATGTATGTATGATCTACTGTTATACTTTTTGTTAAGCAAAAGCTATTTTTTCTTGACTACTTGAGATATCAAAGATAGATATTTTGCTGTTTCTTGGTTAAAATCCTCGCTTGAAGTCATAAAATGACATATGCATTTTCGACTTCCATATAATTTTGAAAAGTGTCGTACAGCTAGCCAAAACAGAGTGTCCTGGCTAGTCGTATGTGACTCACATACGACTAGAACTTTTGGCTAGTTGTACGGGCTCGTACGGCTAGCCATTTCATTTTGGTCATATGTGTTAATGGTGCTTTTAAGTTATAGCAGTTCCTTACAAGTAAATGCACCAGTTGAATTAAGAAAACCAGACCCTACATTTAATCAACCAAATTTTTGTGTTCTTTCTGTTCTTGTCATGTCAATATTATGGCTATGAACACAATCTGCCTTATTGATAAATTTCAAAATATAGACCTGTGTTAAATTGTATGAAATAAAGTTGTTAAAGATAAGTGTATATATTTATAGGACAAGTCCTGTTCAGAGCACAGTATTACCACTAAGACTAACGCTCGCACCACAGAGAATTTCCCCACCACCTCGTCTTGCAGACAGTTGTATGTCCAGATCACCATCTCCCCTGGAAAATGCATATGCAGGGGCAAAATTCAGTGACCCACCATCGCCGGAGTTGCTGCCAAAACCCCCATCTCATTGGATGACATTTGGACAGTTGGAATCAGGGAACTGTAATGACATGGCTAGTCAGTTAAAGACACTGCTTAAAGTCGCTGCTCAGGCGTAGCTAGACCAACAATGATTTTGTTTTAGGTCATTCCAGTCATATCATTGATCAGTTTTTGTACAACATTGCTCATGGATCAGTATTACGTCATAATCATTACAGATTTCATGAGTTCTGTTATGCATTTTTCATAATCATGTTCATTATTGTAATTTGAATCGTAACTATCTGGCTATTGATTGTTATTTCTTTCTATCTTTACATGCAGTTTTAGATAATGTCAGAACAAACATGGGCATGCATACTTCATCACACTTTTATTCTTTGGGTGTGTTATATTAAGGCTTTCAAGCCTTACATTTAGTGTGTTACAATCTTTTCATTTGCTAGTTTCCATCTTCTTTCTGGGGCGAAGTACTTGAGTAGTTTTTTTATATAAAAAAAATAAATTACATTTTTTTTGCATCAACTTCTTTTAAAAAGAGCAACTTAACCTTTTGATTTACTTTTGGCATATCATGGCGTTAATATAGTGGTTATTGTAACAAGTTACAAAATGAGCAGCACCAGATTGGAGATTGATGTTTGCAAGTGATCCTTCTGCAACATTCTTTAATATTTTAGATAAACATCATCTTTATGATGCAAATTTGAATAACTAAATAAAGTGGGGGTAATTGCATATTCAATCATTTTTCATGCCCATTTTTGTTCTAACTAAATTTTATCAGTTTTAATACACACACTTTTTAAACCTCTTACTGGGATCTTTTGATGACATCCAAAACATGTTGAATTTTAACTGTATATACATTGGATGGGTCTTGTTCGGTGATACTCTGATGCTGCATTGTTATCACAGACATTATAGTGCAATATGTTTGTACAAAGTAATGCCAAATATTTGTATATACGAATATTTTTATGTTTATTTTTTTTAAATATTTTATCTGAAACTCTGTTTTTTAGGTATGGTGCATTTATTGCTATAAATACGCACAATGGTTAGAATTTACTGTGTAATAGTTAATTGTTAAGATAAGTTTGGCAATGAAAGATGCTTGATTAATATTAAGACAAATTAGTGTTTGTGTCCGTTTTTAAGGACAAACATGGGATAAGCCTTTAAAAGCATGTTAAGTGTTAATAGAGAAGGAATTGAATTAAATGTATTTTTAAGTCATTGAGAGGTTTATTAGTAGGGATTAGGGTTAGAGATGTTTTACTAAAAAAAAAGTTATATTTTGCTGTAATGCAAAATTACCTCATAGAATGTGAGATTGTGCTAAGGTATGGATTGTTATTACAAGCAAGAGTTGAAAAGTAATGTTGAAGGAATTGCGTACATATTTGAATTTTGAAATTTTTGTTGTTGAAATTGAAATGATTTCTTTTTATTATGCATGAAAAAAATGTTAGTGTGCTAGATCTGTATTTTATATGGCAGTCAACTGTGTGAATTTAAACTTTTTTTTTTTTTTTTTTAAATTTAAACTTTTTTTTTTTGACAATGGAAATCCTAGTTTTTGTATATTTTTATTTCTGGAAAATTTTTGACAAAATTACTTATTTATTATTTAAACAGAAACAACGTTATCAGACATGAGAAACACAATGTTGGCAGTGATATAGATATGAACTATTTGTGCTTTTATAGACTATTTACAAATATATGTTGCATACACACCATATCCAGGAATTTAGATGGTCAAGTAACTTTAAACATTTGAAAAACATTTTTGATTTCTTTACGGCTTTGAATACACAAAGAATTTTACAAATTTCAAACATTTTATTTTTTTGGGAAAACCCTTGGTTAAACATATTTGAATGACTGAAAATTCCTGGATTGTTGTGAAATAAACTGAAGTTATGATGTATTTTAATCAAGATCTATTTTTGTTTGAAATTATGATGCAATTACCACTTGTGTATTAAAAATTACTGAATGAATTTACATGAAATCAAATGATTGTATTCTTACATCAGACATTTGTATAGATTTATTCATTATAGTTTTACATATTTATTGTTGCATTTGGCTTAATTCTCAAGGCTGTAATATCAAAAATTATCTTCTTTTATTTCTGTTTACGAAATGGGTTTAAGATGTTCTTTTATTTCTGTTTACGATATGGGTTAAGATGCTGGGTTAAGTAACTTTCAAACAGTATTTCATTTGGAAGAGGGGCGGGGGTAAACTAAAGCCTTGACTAAGTGCCAAGCTCGTAACTTCAGTTTCTTGTTTTGTGCTCTAAAATTGTGATATGTAGTAATAATGTATTTTGCTTAAACATATGACGGTTTAAGAACAATTGTTTTTGCATGTTTTAAGTGTAAATTATCTTCGGGTAAAAATTGTGCTGTTAAATAATCTATTAACAACACACACATATAAATACCATATGACTTGCAAAGAGAAAGGTCTTGATGTTAACGTTTTTTTGGACAGTTTGTTACTTGAGACTAAGAATAGTGTAATGTTTTAACTTACCACTCAAATGGTATTTAGAAATTCAATTGTATATAAAATTATTGTTATTATGGAAAAAAAGTGTCATATGTAACATTGTAAATTCAGCTGTGTATAGATGACTGAGCACTTTCCTTCTGTGATTAAGAATTTTTAATAAATAGGGCAGTCACGATAAACTTGATCTCTTTAAGAGATTCCACAACAGATACGTATTTGACTGTGCCAGACGTGTTCAATTATTTGTACATTAGAACTGTGTATGTTACAATAACTGTTATAACACCAAGACAAGTGTGCATATTCAGGGATTACACCACACTTCAGATCATCATTGAATTCGAGACCACAGTTTTTCATCAGGGATTTAAACAGTGGGAACATGTTTCTCACAGAGACAGCAGTATGACGGGTGTCAAACACCCAACTCTGCATATATTCAGAAGGTCAAGCACCTTCAAAAGTGATGAAAACTACAATGAAGATATCACATGGACGATTGGAGATCAAAGCCTTCAGGTTTAAAAATGGCTACACGTTATGGATCTCGGACAGAAAGGAAGATTTTTAATGAAAGTGCAACTAAGGATAGATATTGGACAGTTTCATAAAAGTAAGATTACCTATGAAATATGTGATATTGGATGAGTTGACCAAGAAAATGATCTCAAAACAGTAGATTATACTGTGATTATCATGACAAGCCCAGACGCTTGCCATCATAGAAACTGTGCTACTTTTAACAAGTGTGCAAAAAGAGCAACGCTATTAGCTCTTAACTTTGACCTCGGTCTCAACGATCTGTTTAATCAGACATGATGTACTGTTATTTATGTGCGAGAATTTTTTGTGATAAAACAGAGTTTCATTATATTTTCAAAATTTGAACTATGTACAGACCCGTGAACAATGCAGCTACAGAGTTCCCCACCATCACCAATCCAGCCGGTATCATCACAACATCCCAGTGTTCCTGTCGTCGACATCTCCGACAACTTTCTTCTTTCCAGACAACTTCTCTTCTTTCTTTCCTATCGGGTCCCCTCCAGGATCCACAAATCCCTCGAAAGAAGTGCCTTTCAAATATTGTCAAACATCACTGGCTTGCCAGTGAAAATCTGTGTTCCATGTTTTATGTTTGTGCTGTTTTTGTGTTTGTCTTGTGTTGTCTTATATGTTTGTCTTGTCTACAAAGTGCAGTGCTGAATAATGGGATGTCAGTAATTCTGATATTTCCAACAATAACAGGAAAGTATTCTTTTTAAAATTATAAACAAAGGCTATTGAGAATCATCAAGTTGTTAAAAGTGTCCAAGGGCAATATATTTGTAAGTTATGGCTGAACAGTTAAGATTGCACACAGATTTTTTGAAGTGTTCTCTATAATGCTGTGAGTTTTAATGCTACCTACATTTTGATATTGAATTTGTTTGCTAGAATACATCATAATACATGTTGGTTTGTGGTTCTACTTCTCAGTTCTTTATCAAGCCTTACACTGTAAACAAAGCTAGGAAGTTGCAACATGCCTATAACAATGTACATGTAAGATCAAAATTGATTTAGCTAACAAATGAGAGGTTCGCAACTTGAAGAGGGAAAGAAGGTTTGCTTTTTCAACAATAAAACGTAAGTATTCTTTGAATTACACATTGGCCAAT